GTAACATTTGTAGCTGCTATGGGCGGTAAAGGCTGGGGAGGTAGTTTCTCCATAGTGTGGAGGTTTGTTTACTAAGCGATGATAGCATTAAGCTCAAATTAGTAGTCTTGGTTAATATTTAGGGAAATTTAAAATTGATATTCTTGTAGAGAACATAAAGTTATCCATTCAAGAAATGATCTGCAGACACAGAGGGTACCGTCATAAAGGGGAAAAAATCCTGGAAAATGCTGCTCACAGCCCAAGTCTACTCGGTGCTTCTGAGTTTCAGCTCCACCTTCCTGTACATACCAAGGTGAAGGCCATGTTTCCCGGGTGGGTGTTGGGGGCAGATCCCCCCCCCCCCTCCTTTTGAGAATGCCCAGTCATGATGATTTAGATTGTTGAATAAAGTTTGTGACATGGAGATAGGGACTTAATCTCTGGCTAGTGCTTCTTTACTGTAAAAGAAATGATATATTCTTAATGTAAAAAAAAGATTTTCAGGTTTATATGATGTCAATCATGATCAAAGTTGCAGCAAGAATAACAGTGTATACAGAATGTTTGCTCAATAAAAATGAATGTAAAATATACTCACTATAGATATGATGGGTTACAGAAAGGTTGAACAATGCAGGACAATGCAATGAATATAAGGTTATTTGTTTTTCTTTTGTTAGCAGGGAGAACTGATGATCCTGCTCCAGTAGTTGAAAGTAAATGCAATATCAGAGTGAAATGTACCTCTGCCACTAGCAAGAGCTCTACCATGTTTACTTACCTATTGCTGTAGCCTGACAACTGGTCACAATTGACTGTAGCACCTTTTTCATGCTGTAGTTTGTAGTAAGGCAGGATGACCAATGGTGCATGTCACCTTGTTTGTGCAACACAGGTCCCTATTTATAAACCCTTGTAACCTGTGCATATTGTAGTAGATTTTGTAGAATTACATTGGGTATACTTCAAAATGTTTAATAAATAAAATAAAAGCTGGAAAAAAAGGTATAGTTTGTTTCCCACAGCCATGTAGTTAAAGGTAAAATTTTGTAGATGTAATACTTTCATATACATTTATAGGAAAATATAATGGCACTATAAAATCAAATAAAATTACACTCACTAGTACATGGAATAATTTGCATAGGCAAAAAATGTCCAAAATGAAGAAAATGTTGCCACAAAAGGCGATCGGGTGGGTGTCTGGGGGTTAAGGATTTTCCGGGAATACATAAAGTAATAGGGACCTGATCTCAGAGGGGTTGCATCTCTTTGTTAACATTACCAATGCTTTCATTTATTTAACCTGTTTCTGCTGGGCCATGCCTTGTGGCATCATAACAAACCGCTTGGTCTGTGGAGTACAGCTCTACACTGGGGCGATGTGCCAGAATGCCTCGAGCCAGGCATTGGGCGTGATGTAGCGAACTCCCGCGCTCAAAGCCGGCTTGTTGCCATTCATCTCCAGAGTGTAGAACTTTTATTTATTTTCTATTTATTAACTTGAGATTCACACACATTTTAGTGTAGATAGTTTGAAGAATAAAAAATTCTTGTAAGATTGGATGGCTGTTGAAATTTTTAAAAAATTACCGAAAAAGAATTAGATAAAGATAGCATGATATACCTAGAGTGAATATGACATACTGAACTTAAGTAAGTTTTCTGATACTTAACTGTTACAAAATGGTTATTTTTAAAGGAACTGAAGTGACACTTGAGTAAAGAGTAATAGTACAGTTACTGTTTTTAAGAGTGCCTGCAGTCTCTCACAGGCTGAAGTTTGGCATAGGCCTCCATGTGTATTCCAGCAAGTCAATGCTCCTGGGCAATTTGTCATTAAGCAAGGAAACTGTCAGGGGTGTTGATGTTGACCAAATTTATTATTGCATTTAGTATTGGAGGCCATTAATAGTACATATGCCCTCAAAGTCATTCCTGGAAAACCAGTTATACAATACAAAGATAAGAATGAAGGAAATTTTGCTTGCATCCACACAACTTGTTGATTTGAGCATTGTGACCTATTTCAACAAATGTATGTATATGTGTGTATTTATATTTATATATATATATATATATATATATATATATATATATATATATATTTTTTTTTTTTTTTTTTTTTTTTTTTTTTTTTTTGGGGGGGGGGGTTGCTTCTGTTGATAGTATATCATAAGCCATTGCTAGAATCTTCACTGTTATCAAATAAAAAGTATTAATGTGGGATACCTGTGTGTGTAATATCAAATAATCACAGTCACAAAGTATAATAAGACAAAAACTTTAGCCTAATCCTATATGTATTTTGAATGCTACTGGCTACTGACAACATACAGTGTGATCTTGTGGTTGGATTTCTTCCCATAAAGCCCTGCTCATCATCATATCAATACCACAGAAACATGAAGAGCTAGTAGCAAAGTTGAATTTGATATGAATTGATATTATGAACTTGATCTCTAAAACCCCAAGAAGGTTCAGACACTCTTTGTAATATTTTGTGTGACAACTTATT